TACATTTATGCAGAGCTAGAGAACAAAGCAGATACCTGAAGGGTAAACACTTGGATACATAAAAATGGGCAAATTAATGGAGATTATAAAGGCACAGAATAATAAAGTCTAAGATTACATGTAATACTTACCACACTTTAGCCTAAAGTCATAACTCTACCACACAACTCATCACACTGCAGCTGTTAAACAGTTCATTGATGTCACTGCCAGTGAAGTGATTTGTAGGAATAAAATACACTAAAACAACAAGATCTGGATTTGTGAGTCAATTAAATGATCAGTCATTCGACAAATTAATAGCCAACACATCTAATAGTCGGATAATTACTGAAGTCACACTTTTTTACGATAGAAACAAATGATTTTTTGGACTGTAGGTCAAATAAAAGAAGACATTTGAAGATGAGATAAGGATTTCCGTTTAGTTTGACAAAAAAAAATGTCAATTAATTAATTAGTTCCCTGAAAACGTTTAAGTGAAAGATTTCTGTCTCGTCTTTCTGTGAGTGAAAACAAAGACAACCTTTCATACAGATCATACAAATAGGATGATTTAAAAGCGAACTAACTAAGAAAAAGTCAAAGTCACAGCACTTTCTCTTAATATCCTTGTTTTTTGGATATTTAGTCAAAACAACTAAAAGACTAAAACATGAAATTAGTTATTTAATCAGTTAGCAGATTAAGAAAAAATAATAAGAAAGAATTCAGAGTAAAGACTGAATCGACTGTTTTTCCTTTCATGTCTGTGGATTTTTGACATTTTTAGCTTTTTATCAAATTTAGTCAAAGTAAGAATATTTCCCCAGCATGAGGCTCCTAAATTAGTCAAATATGATTAGCTGTAAGACAAAAACAGCCAATTCTGTCATGGACAATCATGATAATCAATTAATAATTCAATCATGTATGTCATTGTTTGTTCCACTGATAGTTGGACAAAAAAGAGACATCTGAATATCAAACTTAGTATTTCTTACTACTTTGAGTTCTTTTAGGCCACAGGCCGAACAATCTGTCGATAAAACAATTAATGAATGAACAAAGAAAAATCTGATTATTAATTAATGTTTCTCTCACTTTTTTTCTCTTAGTCTTATCTGTGTGTATCTGTAGTGTCTGGTATGTTACACAAAATAAAAATACCACTTTTCTTTTTCCCATTTTGATCTTTAGAGGCACCAAAGATTGACCCTCACGAAAATAACACATTAACTAATGTACCACCTATAAAACACGATTTTCATTACAATAAAAAATGACAAATTCTTTCCTTGCTAAACATAATCAATAGTTCCACATACACCGCTGCAGGCTTTATAGCAGATGGGTGGCCTTGTAGAGTGTATTTTTATCGCGTCACTGAATGGCTTTAACATATTTCAGAGCTGCGGTCACTGATTGTCTGACCAAATAACTGAGCCATAGTTTGGGTGGGGTTGAAGTGGAGCCTTTTGAAATCAGAGCTTTTGCCAGTCGCTTTTTTTTTTTAATGAGGTGGGAGGAAGAAAAAATCTCAGTATCTTTAGCAACCATTCGACAAAACAATGGCCCGTAAAAAACACACAAGCAGCCGCTGAAGAAAGTCTGAAATCACGGCGTGAGTGGCTGCAGCAGATAAGGCCGAGCCCAGAGGCTTGTATAAACAAACATTTCTGCTATTCAGCTCGGACACACACACACACACACACACCGCGCCGACTCCATCTGGAAAAGTGCAGCCGGCTGAAATCGTGCGTGGAGACGGGAGTCGTGATTGGGGGCCCCACCCCAACACAAGGACACAACCGGGATAAAGTTACACAACAGACCAAGTGATTAACAACCGTCTGCAGCAAACTGTCAGCTCTGGAATCCACCGGGAATAATCACACACACAGACAGGCTGCGAAAGTAAACTGTCAGCGGCGGCACCAGAACGCCCCAGAAATGAAATTCATCAGATTTACTGGAAATCATGAAGGTGTAACCACGACGCGGAAACACACCGGTTACAAAGGCACGGGAGAAATCATTTAGACCAGCGGTCTCCAACCTTTTTTGCGCCACGGACCGGTTTATGCCCGACAATATTTTCATGGACCGGCCTTTAAGGTGTCGCGGATGAATACAACAAAATAAAACTAGTACCGGTACCAAAAAAAAGAAGATTTATTCATAACACACGTGAAAAGACCCAGGAAAACAGAGTTAATGATAAAAACGATAACAAAATAACGCTGAAAACCGATTAAAAACCCTGAAAACGATACATTTCACACCTGAGCCTCAACTCTCGCGGCCCGGTACCAAACGACTCACGGACCGGTACCGGTCCGAGGCCCGGGGGTTGGGGACCGCTGATTTAGACCAGAAACATCAAACTAGATTTAATTTAAAAAAGTTCAATTTGATCCTATAAGTGGGCAGGAACACTTTGATAATAACCTACATTTATTTGAATGTAAAGGTCTGTTGTGATGACATCCACGGAGCAGACGATCAACAGCCGCAGACACAGTTCATTAAAGATGAAAAAACAAACAGAAAAGCCTCACCTGCATTGTTTCTGCTATTAAACAGCTATATGATCATTTATTGACGTGATAAAGATATATCTTCAGTATGTCTTCATGTCTGTGTTGTAATTTAATCTAAAAAAAAAAGATCACCATAATTACGTCACTGCTGTTTTCATTGACGCGTAAAGCAAAGTATGGGCCGGTTTGGATCTTCGGAGGATGTTTTCTCAGGCCCGGGCCGCATGTTTGACAGCCATGTTTAATACGTCAGCATAATGTTAACGCGAAGGTTACTTTAGCTCAGATGTTGAAAGACATTTTTCGCTTGCAGTCCTTTACAGCATACGTATCAGAATGTCACTTCACAGATCAAAATAAAATCAACGTAACAATATTATTTTAAAAAACATGAAAATTGTTTGTGTTAAGTGGTCTAAAAGTAAAAGAAAATGCTGCTTTTTACTATCATATAGGCATTATTAAGTAAATATTGATATTTCATTTTTGAATATCCTGATTATCACAAGTTCTCAGTGTTGTGTATGGTACACATTTATAAAGACAACATTTATTAAAAAACACACACATTTAGTTCATTTAGTTTTTAAAGCAGCAGAAACATGAATTTCATCTTGTTGAATATAATCGTGTTTTGCGTGTATTTACTAACCTACAGTTACGTCATGCGGTTATGTGGGGCTTTGGATTGCACAGTACTGTTTAAATTGTGATTGCAGAGTAGTTTTACCTGCTCTAATCCCTTTATCTTTACAGCCAGTTTATTTTTTGTGCTGCTGTAACACCTAATCCTCCCAGCAGGGCATCAATAAAGTGCTATCTTATCTCACCTTTCCCCTGCTGCTAAGTTTTTCAGTTTTACTTTAAAACCTTTGTTTGGTGATTTGTGACTGTTGCTGTGTGGCTGAAATATATTTTCCCCAGAAGCCCCGAAGGATAAAAGTGGACTAATTAAAAATATATCTTTTATGTTTCATAAAAATCCAAAAGTTCCTTAGTTAACGAGCCAAGGGCCACATTTTCTCGAGCATTTTCTACAGCAGTCCTGAATGAAACAGGAACCTCTTATTAAGAGGGGCTGTAAATTTTATGAACTGCACCGTGCTGATGCACTCTGTCAAAGCACTAACTGCCACCGTGAACAGCTCTTTTTTTTCCACTGAATGTAGATCTTCTAAAGGTCAGACGAGTTTTTCAAAAACGTTACGATCTTTATGAACATGCAGGAAGTTGAAGATTTTTTTAAAGTGACAACAAGAACACAAACAGGTTTTTTTTGTGATATAATCTTTTCTTCTCTTATAAGTGGTGTGGTGATGGGGCTGCGGTACTTCTTATTGGAAAACTTACTCTTCACACCAGCGAGATGTGTCTACGTTTTCTGAGCAACATCTTCTCTTTATGGTAGCATGACTTCACTGCAGCTTAGGAGGGAAACAAGACGACCATCTGCTGCACGATGCAAATTGTGGAAGTCTCATCTAAGCTGCAGGTGGACTTTTGAATACATTAGTGTTCATGTGGGCACCTCTGCAGCAATTTCAAAACACTTTTAAAAAAAGAGGCCTGTGCCCCAAATCCAACACTCAACACTAACATCTGCCACCAAAATGAGACAAGAGCTTGTTAACATAATGGCCCTTAATCTGCTACAGGTTCATAATATATGTGAAAGGTTAATATCCCATAACTGTCTGTTTGCACTTCAAATGCAATCAGGTGGGAGTCTGACAGGAAGTTTAGTATTTTAAAAAACTGCTGCTCACTGCAATCCCAAAACAAATGAAATAATTGAAGAGCTCAATCACCTACAACGCCGAGCTGCTGCTAGAAATATACCTTTAATGTTAACTTTACATGTAAAAGAAAAATAGGAGAGAGAAAGGGAGGCTTGGAGATAGTAGAGTCCAGAAACACACATTTATGACTGGTAGGTGCTTCCCTGTTGGTGAAGTAACGGTGAATTATTTATCTTCTTCACAGGCACAAAAAGGCCAGTTTTACTTTTTCTAAATTAATCTTTTTCAGTGGGTTTACTTAAGTGTAAACAGCCAAGGAAAAGCAGTTTTTCAGATGAGGAGTTTATTAGTTTATTAGTCGTGATACACACCTACATCTACTGTGAAATGAAACCAAATGACAACAACAAAAAAAGGAACCAGTGCTCGCTAAGTACAACATAACTGTTGTTAATAATAAAACCTTGTTTTCAAAATATGAGGATTCATTGATCTCATATGTCCTACTCTCAGGGAATGTTTGATATTTATCAATAAAGATTAAAAGTTGCAGTTATTTATGGAACTCTGTGTGTAGTTTCAGTTATTGTTGGATTTACACCAACGTGGGTGCTGAAACGTGTGGAGTGTGTGCAGTGATGAACTTCAGCCTGTCCTATGACTACAGGCTAAAAATGGCCTTCATATGTTCATATAGTCAGGTTGTCTAAATATTCACAAGATCAGTGAAAAAAAAAATCAAAACAAAATAATGGCTTCAGTACAACGTGGGACTGAATGAAACATACTCAAACACACAAACAGGAGTTTTATTTCTAGGAGATTTTGTGATTTTCC